GTTAACTGAGTAAGCCGAACTCCTAATTGTTTAAAGCATATCAATTGCTAATGCTTTCTGGCTAGGAGTGAGATTTATTTTGGCTGACTCGCCTCCAAAATACAACCAGCTACGCTTCTCAGCAATTAGTTCTAATTTCCAACGTTTACATCAGTTATCTACATTATTGAGTTCATATAAGATTACTACAGCCGCTTCTACAGTCCTATAGATCTATTCGGCGTACAGATAGGTTTTGCTTATATTGAAGTAACTGTATATTCTGTTGTTGTAGATTATGAAAAGCGATGGACACTAGGAACTGACCTGCACAAAACCACTGGTTATTGGTTGAAGTGTAGATGTCGTTGAGTTAGTTTTCAATAATGGGTTCACATTCCGGAGGAAAGACCTTACCCACTGCATCAAGGAGTCAGTTATCCCGACAGACTAAAGTCAGTTGATAAGGAGGTTGAAAGGTACATAATAGAAAGCCTTCTTGCTATCGAAATACAGCACGATCACTTGTTGATTTTATCATGTATGCAAGTAACTTCAATAAAAAAACCTATCAGACATCTTGTGCATGACCTAGTTCTAATGAAGCTGTGTTTTGAGGGTCAATCAGACCCTCTCTGAGTAAATGACCAGACAATTGATCTACTACCACTTTCTTCATTACCCGTGGGCTAACTGGGGTGATGTCAATCGTTTTGTAGTTCTGGATTATGTTTTTAAGCCCGAATTTGTAAGCTAGGGACAGCATGAGTCAATTTTCAGGCTTTGGGGTATGCACCAGCCTCTAGAGATAACGTAAATATTTTGGGCGATAATGCTATTATCTTCGGTCCTGTCATTTTAAAGAATATGGGTGGTTTTTCATCTACAACACTGCTTTTTTTATGCCTTAGGATTTTAATGATGGTGTGAATGTTTATAAGGTCCAATTTCATGGTTTTGAGACTATTCTTACTGATGCAGTTAAGATTACTATTTGGGATAAGAAATGTGTTCTGATTGAGGGACAAACGTATGCTAAACATTTCACAAATAAAATTTAATCATACTAAGTCTCACCATCATGAAAATTGTAATCTGTGGTATTTTTTTGTGTTTTTCAAGCAAACAACAGAAGTTTCGGGATTAACCTACAGTAGCGAGTGTATTAAGTTTGTCTTGTTATCTGCGCTCTTAACAGTGATTTTTCAGAAGATGAAGAGCAACTAAATTTATATGATCAGGTAATAATAAGCTAAACATAAAGGTAAGTGAATTAAGCATACACATGTAGACTCGCATAAATAACTAATAAACAAGGCTGAAAGACAAATGATTAATAAGCCGAGTAGCAGACATTTACCTGAAAAGAGAAACAATTTATGGGGCATCGAAATAATTTTGCACGCACCGTTTTGACTCTACTTATACGAATAAAACGCGATTGGTAAGATAGAAACATTTATTATTCTACCAAATTTTACCAGTGATTGTTTTAATGAACTCCTTGTTTATTCGTACTCTGTACGCTAAATCTGCTGTTGCTTCGTTGTCATCTTAGTTACTCTGTTCGTGGTAGTTTCGCCAATATCCTTTGGCACGATTTCGGTGTTCTTAGGATACAACGAGATCGCCTAGAAATTTACAACATTTACCGGATTAGATCCTCTACTCTCTCTTTGATTCACGGAGGGATTCCTATTAGTGGTGGGAACGTTATTGGTCTGTAATGGTGTTTGTAGTCAACCTAGACTTGAGCCATTTCCGGTCGACTATTACAGGTCAACAATCATCCAAAAAACCATGCCGTAACCTTGAACATAGTCAAACAACAACTGACTTTCAATAGCTCGGCTATAAGCAACAGTACAATTAAAATAATAAAAGAAAACATTAACTAAAGTCGAGCAGCTCTGACTGAGAAATTTAAAATATAGTTGGAACTGCCGTGAGTGAACGCTAAGTACACGAGATAACTACACTGTTCATTTAATAAATGTGGAGGGATTTTCAGAGTATTCCCTTCGTTGCAATTTATTTGCCAATTACAACTACAAGAGTAGCTAGAGTTTAAAATGTATAAACAAGTGTGAGCGAAAGACACTTTAGAGTGGTTTGTTTTCCACTCAAACAGAACCTAATGCGCGTCGGGCCAGTATTGAATGCTAGATCAAGCGAACTTTTCCACCAAGTTCACGTAAAACGAGAAACTGACATCAGGGAATGATAGGTAGTCTCGTGGAAGTATGTCGTCAAAACAAATGACATTTTGAGCTATTTATATTGAAGATGATTACATCATTTATATATGTCAGTTCCGTGGTTAAAGGCGTTCACTAAACCACCGTCTACAAATCACGTTTGTGCATGCCGTAGTGCATATTAATTATATTGGAAGCTAACGTTTTTTATAAAACTGTACATCTGCTTCAGGTTCAAATATCAGTTCATATTCTTTTTACGGATTTTGATTTCATTGGCTTCGGGTTAATTTTATCATACATAACATTGCAAAACCATTTATATGTGTAACCTCTTTTGTTCTTTGAAAGCAGCTGGAAGTCGGTATTATATTTTAATTCAGATGCCGAGTAACAGTGTTTTTCGTGCTAACATCTTAGTTTTCCCATATGAAACTAGCTAAAATACTTCATACATGGATCATGCCAGTAGTATTTGTTAGTAAAACCGTGGATCAGTCAATATTTTCTTTTACAGTTGACCATTATTATTGTTGAAATACGACGACCAATTCCGTGAAACTAACATTGGTAAATATTATCGAAAGGTATGTATTAACGTATATATCTGAGAATTTTGGTTGTTCTCACTGCATTTTCACACCCTCATCAAACTACGAACGTTTTTGTTTTACTACACCAACAAAATAGATTGCTTACATTGTACACATGGTGTTGAAGCGCACTGCTCGAGCGTGGTTTATTTTTTCGACAGTTTTTTAATAATTGTTTCTTGTGTCATAAAAATGAAGTGAACAATCTAAAAGAATCTAAATGAAGTAAATGAATAATCTTTCCATGAACCTTAGGCAAATACTTTGTTCTTTCTTTTTATTACTCGACCTAAATATACATTTCAAAACACTGGTACTAGTAGATATTTTAGTAGCTTATCAGTTAACCAGGAAACAGCGCTTACCTAAAAATAATCATCAATGAAATTCACAAATTATTTGTGGAGTAATAAATGTTATTTGAAGCGAAGCCCCAAACTTGGGAAAATTCTTCGTTTCTTTGTAAATTCTTATAGTAATCCTGATGTCATAGGTAATTTGAGAGAAAAAACTACAGCAGTAAAAAACTTATAGTTTTGGAAGCATTTCTTCGGAATCGATCAAATCTAAAAAATCTGGGAGGTTGGGAATAATTAACTTTTACATACAGGGTTATTCCTTTAGTTGAAGGAAAACGCTGAGTTCACTTGGTAAAGTCAGACTACTGTTATGAGTTACGGTTATCACTCGCACAGAGTTTGCGTCACCAAATGAGACCAGCTATGATACGATAAGTTATGGGTTAGGTATAAATAATTAGTGTCGAGTTTTGAGTTTGGTTTTTCATATTAGGGTTAAGGAATTCACAACACATAGACATGAACTACGATGCGATGCATTGTTCTTCTGCTGTTTGCATACTTTAGGGACTTACTAAATACTAGTGACAATCGATTAGTTGTCACGAATACTTAAAAATACGATTTGCCCAGAGAGTATTTATGTTTGGTGGTCAAGCCTAATTAACACCTTAAATCAACTTCCTATTTTGAATTTGAAATCGATATTGATTTCAAGCATCCTAATGACCATATAATGTTAATTTTTACTTCGCTAATAATAAAGTGCAAACTATTTACCCCTTCACTTTAAAAGTTGCATAACATGAATGGGGCATTATGTTAATTCTGACTGACCGATATAAGGTCAAAATAACAATAAGTAAGCTAGAATAAACCAATCGCTTGATACTAACAAGTGTTAAAGTTATTAGGTATTGTATATTGGATTTCATGTCCATGGCATGAAGTGACTTCTGAACTTTCATTTCTCAGACCATTAATTTATTACGTAAGGAAATAAATAACAAGGACTGACTTGTGTATGAGTCGTTTAACAAATGCTAAATGAATTTATATGTCCTATAACTTGAGTGAGTTTGTCTCAGAGAAGTAATGTTCCTGGATAACAAAAGCTATCACTGACAGGTGGACTGAGTCATGTTGGTAAATGTAGGCTACCTGGTTGGGGTCCGCGAGACAAAAGTTACCAATGGTTAGAGACCTTGAACGACATGGCTCAGAATCGTTTGCGATGGCAGAGGTGCATCCACTATTTGTGTTCTATGAAATTCTAAGCTTCTGCATTCCTCATAATCTCTACCTTTCTCCTTCTAAATCTATCTCATTGAATTGTACTTGTCAAATCATATCTACGCTCCCTAATCTTCTCCATTACTGCTAATACTTCTATTATTGCTATCACTCTTCGATTTGAACTGACAGTTGAGTCCGTGTGCTAATGTGGTATGGCAACCTGAATTGATGTACTTAGTTACGAAGTTCTGTGTTGTATCTCTCTGTCTATTTAGCATTTGTCAATTTTCACCGATCCTTATGATTTGTTTTATTAACACTCAAAAAGTTTTAATTATATTCTTACAGCACTAATTTATCCGGTTTGATGGATTTTCCATTCTATTTAGCTTTCATTGTCTATTCCAATTTATTATGGTGTCACAGTAGCCATTAGGATGGAGGTTTTCGAAGCTCAAATTATTAACTGGATCCACCTGGACTATTGAGTCGATGGTTAAAAGATAGATAAGTGGTGTAATGTACGTTTTTAGTTCTGTTTTTTAGAGTAACACGTCACCATTACATTTTTAATTTAAAAATAACAGAAAACATTCACTCTTTGTTTTTACAGAAATTAAAATCAGTTAATATGAATTGTTTATGACTGTGGCATAAAGTATAATTGTATTTAAAAGGATTCTTATTATGAGAAAATGAGTGAATCCATTACAAAGAAGCATGAAATTCTTACAGCTTTAGGTGATTTAAGGTAAATTTCACTGATTTACCTCATTGCTTTTGATCATATATAGACTATCAATTTTCGATACCCTGATCAATGATAAAATGTGGAATAGAATTGCCAATGATATCTTAAAGACTCCATCATTCAACTCTAACCTGGATAAACTCGACGATTCCAATGTGTTGTCAATGATCAGGCTGTTACCAAGGTTTGTTGTTTTATTTAACGCATTTTATTTCGATTGAGATTATATCATGAATTGATTGCATGTTTGAATCTAACAGAAAGTGTTTTGAACTAACTTAATAACCTTAAACCAATGAAGAAACATTTGTATTAATCGGAATTGAAATTATAATAAAAGACAAGTTAATTAATTCAGAATATGAAAACTTATCAGGCTTCTGTTTTAGACAAGATGATCATCTATCGACCGATAAAAGAGTATAATGCACGGTAATCTGCTGTACTTTGTGCCAGTCCTTTAAGTAACTAACCAATAGATTGAACAATGTATGTTAGGTAAAAACTATCAGGTTGATTTACGCGTCTATCATCACCAACGATTAAAGACTTTGAGTGACATGGCTCAGAATCGTTCGCAATGGCGCGAATTCATTCACCGTTAGTTTGATTTTGAATTCTAAGTCTCTTAATTGTTGTCAGAAAAAACTCTCTGTTTTGTAAATCCATATTTTCCTAAATTATATCTCCTACCCACAATCCTTGATATTACTACTGATGGTGGCGGCCAAACCGAAACATGGCACAAATCCATGAAGTCAATGACAGCTGGACTGAGCCATGTTGGTAAATGCAGACTACCTGGTTGAAGTCCGTGAGATGATAGTAATCGACAGTTAGAGACTTTGGATGACATGGCTCAACATCGTTTGCAACAGCGCAGACGCATCCATTCTTTGTCTTCTTTCAAGGTCTAAACTAAACTCCCCACCACCTTTATCTTTTTCTTTTAAAGTTTATTTCACTAGATTCTATTTCTTGAATGATATCTTTGAACTCTAATCTCTCCAATTACCACTAATAGTTCTACTGCCTCTACTACTATGGGATTTGAATTGACAATTGCGTCTCTGTGCTCATATTGTATGACTACTTGAAATGATGTACGTATGTATGATTTTCGACGTTGTAACTGAATGACTGAATGAGTGAGTTATCGGGGATTAAAACAATATATATGAAAATAACTGATGACTTATGGCTTTCACCTGTTGTAACATCTATTACTAATATGCGGACTATGTGTCCACGGAGAAACTTAAAACCGATCAGATTCCTAAACTGTCTCTCCGTCACTCGAAAACTCATAGTGAAGACCAGTTTAGAAGAAATAGCTACCGGATAGATCCTTTGTTAGAGTTAGAATTAGCTAAAGTATGTTTAGCTCATATAGAAAAAGAAATTCAGTTAGAACGCTTATGTCAAAAAGGAAGAGAATATCGTAATCAAGTCGTGGCCATTTCCGAGAAGAAATCAAATTTGTTTATTATGGAAAGTAACAATGAACACGATAAAATTCAAATAAACCTGAATGGAACAAACCCTCTTCAGACTAAATCGGTAGATCAGGATTTTTCTAGTTCTCCTTCTAATCATTCTGTTTCTCTCACACAGGCTTCCGTTGCATCACTCAAAGCATCAAATGAATTAGCTAAGTCACCTACCGTTCTATCAAGTCCTGCTATAGCTAAGAAAGGCATTCCGTCTGATTGTGTTCTCGGATCAAATATTTCATCAAGCGTTGTGAATGCTGATGTGTCGAAAGATGCTTCGGTTAATCATCTACAAGTCATGATTCTGCTTCGCGTCCTTTTATTACATTGGCTAAAGTAGTTACAGCTTCTCAGACAGACTGTAAGGATTCGAAAAATCTAGAGGATCCTGCTAAGGAAGTAGTTGAAGATAAACAGAAAGAAACGTTAACTTTAGCGGAAGTCGACCTAGTTGCTGGTGAAGAAGGAGAAATACCAATCATTCGACAGCACTCCCGAGCTCATGTTGCCGATGCTAATAAACAGAGGTGTAATAATCCTGGACTTTTTCATTTCCAGTTAAATGATATATACAACAACAGTGCTGAAAAGAATAACGAATCTCTCTGCAGGTCACGGATAGTAGTACGTTTAGTGTATAAAGGCAGATTGTTGATTAATACTCTCAAATGCCTGCTGCCCTAGTTGACTCACGAACTTTGAGAATAGGTGCAATTAATGAGGAAGATCGTACAGAAGCAAACATTACCCTATGCGGATCCAACGAGACGAGTAAACGAACTCTGGGAATAGAGCAGAATATCCGGGCGGACGAGTCATTTTCCAAAGTTCATGAGTTACCTGGTAACCTAACCAGAAGGAATATTTTGTCATTTATAGCAATAATCTTTTATCCCGGAGGGGTTATATGGAAACATATCATAAAGTCAATGAGAAGGAATCCACAACATGGCTTGCTGAGAAATCTTTGGGCGAAAGCTATAGTTAGAGAGGTCAATATATGGTCCGGATGGACAAGTCAGAACAGTGCGATTAAAGATAGCAACCGAAGAAATCACGCGGGATATACGGAACCTATGCTTACTTGAAGAAGCCGACTACTTGAAAGCTACGGTAACGAGGTCTGGACGTGGTGACCGCTTCGGGGGGAGTGTTAGTTATTTTATAACTAATTGTAGTTATGCCATAACTAACCAATCAGATTGTGGTTTAAGCGCTCACCACGTTATCTAGTCTGACCGGTCTATAAACCTTCATTGTTGTAAATGACCTATTGATTGAAGGACGTTATTATTGTATTATATTGATGTGACTTATGTTTTTATTCATATTCTAAAGACACGCTATACTGGTCGGTACGTTTGCTCATCTTACTTGATAGAATTGTAATTTCCTTATTTATTGTTCTAATTTAGTTGTTTTTTTGTTTAGAAACAGATGAAGCGAAATTGGTCTTGTTCTGACTGTAGCTTTACTCTTGACTCCGTGCTCGCCAGTATTGCGTTTACTGCTCTAGAATTACATCTGTAGGACAATTAAATCCTACACTATGGCTAGTAGCGTTTCATGCAATTTGGAAATCTTGTACTGCGTCAACCTGCATTCTAGTGTCACTGTTTACACCTAAACCTCAAACCTGGTACCTTTCTGCTACAATCACCCCCCCCCTAATACAGTATGCTCTGAGCGACTGAATCCTGACAATCACTAGCTTTATACAACGACGAGTTCTTTATCATTAACAAAACTTAAAACAACCGCCAACCAAAATTACCATCCGATAATCAATACAATGTTTTGTTTATTTTTTAGTTATGAGAAATTGTTAATAAATTTCAAAGAGAAATTACAAATAATCATTAATTCTTGTCAACCAAATGATTATGACAATTTAATCACAATACTACTGAATTTATCTAGCAGTAGTGATAACAATACACTACCAGATAATAATCATCATGCTGATCTGTTACAATTATTATCATCTTCATCATTGAATCAATATACAAAACAATCAATTGATTTACACGACAATCTGGACATTAGTAGTAGTAGAAGTAGGAGCAGTAGTCGTTGTAATCATAATGATCCCCCTCCATATGATGATATCAATTGTGACAGGAAATCTTCACGTCGTCACTCTGGATTCTCTGATCTCTCCTCTGTTTGGATACCATCGAATTCATCATGTTCCTTGGCATCACCATCATCATCACCCTCGTCATCGTCTACATCAAGCGGAGATAGTTCATTAACTCTATGTCCAAAGTCATCATCATCATCATCCTTACAAGCAAAACATCATACGGGCAAAAATTCTCATTATGAACAAAATAAATCGAAAGATTTTGTTAGCAAAAAATATCAAATGAATCATTTATTATCTGAACGATATTTTGAAAATACAAATGAACACCGATTATGGCATAATAGTTCATCAAATATTCAAAATTCAATATATTCATTTAGTGATGGTGAATCATCATTTTCTAGTTGTTTAAATAATGTAAGTTTTGAGATAATTGAAAAAGAGTTTTTTGTTTCTTTTAGGTATGATATATGTGTATATTCTTACGTCCTTGTTTGACGTTGTTATCTGTAACGTTGACTACTGTCGGTTATTTTCTGAGTAAGAGGATATTGAAATGAAATACATGATACTGGTGTGGTGTGTGCTACTTATACGAATGATATAAGTAGTATAAGAAGGGACGTGAAAGAAGAAGTCTCACGGTCGGTCAGAAGAGGAAAACGGAAAGCAAATGGAGCAAAAGCAAGAAGTAAATGGAGTATCAACAGGAAGCAAAGGAAGCAACAACAGGAATGGAAAAAGGATGGAGCGTTGGAAGTCACGACTCAAAGATGGTGTGCAAATAGAGTTTTCAGTGTAATGTTTTCGTTTTTAATTGACTCAGAGTGTAAATTCGTACAATACAATCTTCTGCGCCTGCCTCAGTCTTCTCACTGGAAGGAGACGGTAGATTGGTCAATGAGGTGACTCCTTAACCGCCATTTACTTCAATGGACGATGTTGATGGTTGTAGGTCAGGTGTACTCAGGTCAAGATGAAGGATCAATCTGTAAAGTTATTGACTTTTGGTATGAGTTGTGTAGATCAGTGCCAACTACTCGGTCTGGGTTTATTCGAAATATAAACAGTCAATGACTAAAGACCTACAGTGACATAGTTCAAAAAAGGTCACAACTGCACAGATGCATACACTCTATATCCTAACTATATACAGATCTTCGATTCCAACAGTCCTTCAAATTCACCTATTCATCATGTCCTTTCGCAACCGATTGTCAATGTTAAATCTTCCTCAATAACATTACTACTAGTACACTATTTCGATTGCTTTGATGTTTTACCTACATAGCTTCATTTGATCGTGTTAATGTGACATGACAGCTTATTGCAATATAAATTTGTGGAAAGCTCTGTGTTACTGGTGACTGACTCATCTCTTGGATGTTTGCTGTACATTACAATGTAATTTCTGTTTAGGATTTCTTTCCAGGTTCAAAATATTGAATTTCATTTATGTTTTTTATCCGGACGACCTACATTCTACGACCCACTCCGTCCTGCGCCTTCCTTTCAGTTCTACCCAATCGCAGTACAGTCTTTTCACGTCGGCTTCCAAGTCTCTGCGTAATATGTACTTCGGTATCCCTCTTTTCCTTTGGCCATGAGGATTCAAAGTGAGAGCTTGTCATGTAGCTCAGTTGGGTGCTCTTTTCAATGTGTGACCTATCCACTTCCAGCGCTTCTTCCTAATTTCCTCCTCACTTGCAATCTGGTTTGTTCTTTGCCATAGTATGTTGTTGCTGATGATGTCTGACCAACGGATCCTCAGTATTTTGATTAAACAACTGTTAATAAGCATTTGCATCGCCCGGATGACGGCTCTGGTAGTTCTCCATGTTTCCGCTCCATACAGTAGAACTGTCTTGACATTTGTATTGGAAATTGTGACTCTGGTGTTGGTTGATAGTTGTTTGGAGTTCCAGATGTTTTTGATTTGTAGAAATGCTGCCCGTGCGTAACCTATCCGTGCCTGCACATCTGCATCAGATCTACCATGCTCATCAACAACGCTGCCCAGATACGTAAAGGTTGATACTTCTTCCAAAACTTCCCCGTCAAGTGTAATTTGGTTAGTGCATGTTGTGTTGTATCGGAGAATCTTGGTTTTCCTTCTGCGTATGTTGAGATCTACTGCTGAGGCTGCTGCTACACTAACTAGTCTTCTTGCATTTGTTGTTGCGTGTTCGATAGAAGAGCTCGATCATCTGCAAAGTCAAAATCATCCATCTACATTCTAGTTATCCACTGTATTCCATGCTTCCTCTTGAGATATTAACATCTTCATAATCCGATCGACTACCGGGAGAAAGAGAACGAGTGAGAGTAAGCAACCTTGTCTTACACTGTTCTTCAGCTCGAACGAGTCTGTCAGCTGTTCTCTGTGCATGATCTTACAGTTTAATCCTTACACCAATAATAACGATTTTGCATTACGGGGATGTGAAGATTGTTAAGTTACACATCTTTCAAAACCATGAATTGATCAATGTTAGACCACCACCATTAAAAACCTGGAAGCACTGAAAGACGGCCGTTTCGTCCTGGTGTGGGACTCATCAGCAGTGCGCATCCACGACTCCTGCACCCCGCAGGATTCGAACCCACGACCTTCGGTATTGTGAACGAACGCCTAACCATCAAACCACTGAGCCGGTATCTAACGGTGTTAATGTCTAACTTGATCAATTGACGGAATTACGCAAACTCATACACAGTCTTCTGTAGTTACTACTGTCTACACCCGAACAGGTCGAAAACTTCACTGGTCAATGAGAAGTCCCATACTAGGAAGAAACGGCCATCTTTCAGTGCTTCCGGGTTTCTAATGATGGTGGTATAACATTGATCGATTCATGGTTTCAAAAATGAATAACGTTTTTATCATGATTTCCTTTGTATCATCATTCATCTGTGTTCTTTTGTTATCATCTACTTTTCTATTTTTCCTATCATTCTCTTCAATTATTTAGATTGAATTTACTGTGATGAATCAAGATCAATTAATTAATTTAGCTAGTGCATTAGATAGTCGATCAAGTCGATTAGATTGTCGTCAAAAAGCTTTGAAACAATTAGTCCATTTACCAATTATTGATGTACAAGCATGTGAAGTATGGATTTATTTAAATGAGAATCTTACATCACAATCACCATCATCATCAACATCATCAACAGCCATGATGAAAACCACTGCCACAACTACACCTACAACTACAACAGCGACAACAACAAAAGTAACATCTCCGTCATCAGTCGCACTAGTCAATCAAGAGTTCTCCACTATGAATACCAATACCACTACTACTACTACTAATAATAATAATAATAGTAGTAATAAGAATAATTTACGTCGAATCTATTCCATCACAAATACACCTGGTATTATGGATAAAATGAAAGTAGACTATAAAAATTCGCATAAATTACCAATATCTGCCTCCTCGTCCTCCTCCTCCGCATCATCAACATCCTCATCATCAACATCGTCACCGTCGTTAAATTTGAAAGCATTAAATCCTATTCAACAAATTAGACCAATTGATGACCACAATGCCAATAATAAAGAAGGATCAATTGATACTACTAATAAAAGTAATATTAGTAGTATTAATAATAATCAAAACCAAAATCAAATGAGTAACAACAATGTGAAAATGATTACAGCCGGTGGTGGTGGTGGTGGTTTAAGACGTGGTTTAGCCGATGCACTAAACGATGAAGATGATATTTTATGGGTAAGCGAAAATTCGGACAATTGTCCATATATTTATTATTGATAAAATTGTTTTTCATATTTTTGAAACCATGAATCGATCAATCGATCAACCACCATTAGAAACCTGGAAGCACTGGACGGCCGTTTCGTCCTGGTATGGGACGAGTTCTAGTGGGAAGACGTGACCAGTGAAGTTTAACCTGTCCGGGTGTAGACAGTAGTAACTACCGAAGACTATTTATGAGGTTGCACAACTCTGTGAATTGATCAAGTTAGACAATTACACCATTAGATACCCGCTCAGTTGTTCGATGGTTAGGTGTTCGCGCACAATACCGAAGGTACTGGGTTCGAATCCCACGGGGTTCAGGAGTCGTGGATGCGCACTGCTCAGAAGTCCCATACCAGGACGAATCGGCCGTCTTTCAGTGCTTCCAGGTTTCTAATGGTAGTCTAACATTGATCGATTCATGGTTTTGAAAAATGTGTAACTTAACAATCTTCACAACCCCGTAATGAAGATTGTTTTTGTTGTGAGAATAATTTTGCCTTGAAATCTAAATCCAATCCATTCGAACATTTTAAACTATTACACATTGCTTAGATGAATGTTTACAGCGTGATTTGATTGGTAGAATTCTATCAACCATTTCATTTTATTGGTTAGGTTGAATTTGAAGTAGGACTCACTACTTTAGTGGCTCGCGAGTGTCTGACTCCAATTTGGATATATGATCGAGTATGCAGTGAAATAAATCTTTCCTACACTTTCCGTTTATATTAGTTAATCGGAACTCGTTTGTGCAATGGAGGTAATTAGAAACCAAATATGGATTCAGTCAGACGAGTTTATTTCAGACAATCGTTCACACATACAGGTGTGAAAATGCGAAGCAAAAAAGTAAAGTTGAGTGAAGTGGAAAAGGCTAGTGAGCCGACTCATTGCGATGAAACGTAACTAAGTACTTATAGTCAGTTGACAGTAGGTTAGACATGTAATAAGCGAAGTAAGTAATGCATTTACGCACTCAAACAAAAAGAACCAAAGTATGAACGAATATCTGACAAGGTAGAAAGACTAGTGAATCATGACTCGTGTAAGAAGGGTTAATTAGTTTGTCCGAAAGCTAGAACAAACCATGTGGGCCCAACACAGTGGTAAACACAGTACAATATCATCAGTTTTACATGTTTTGAAATCATCAATCAATCATAATTAGACCGCTATCAGAAACCCTTGATCACTGAACGGCCATTTCGTCCTGATGTTGGACTAATCAGCTGTATGCACCGACGACTCCTACATCTAGTAGGATTCGAACCCAA